ATATTTATTTTAAATATTATAAAAAAGCTAACGATTGCTAAAAAATATATATTTTTTAAGCATATCTCGAAGACAATATAGCCAGACATACTGCACATACTTGAGGGTATTATTAAGTACATAAAGATTATAAATATTCGTTTTACTTTCCGAGCATCACAACCATTCGCACCAATAATTCAGAAAAAAAAATAAACATTTTTTGAATATGCTTACATTTCTGCAAACATTCTTTGCTGCATGGTCGAAAATTAAATATGGGAAAATAAACATCGAACTTAATAACCCATTTCCCATAATGTGGAGCTGTGGCTAGAGTAAACACAGATATTCCGTATGTGTAAGATTAAGTATATTTGTGGCTGAAATTAGTTTAAATAGATATATAAATAAAAGAAGATTTGTATAAGCAGGATAGTGCCATTTCTACGATATTTCTTATTGCTCCAGAGTATGTCATCGTATCATAGGATACACCCAACAAGAGCATTCCAAGTACTTGTATGCAACTATACTTCGTACAAGTACTATCGAATTTAGATGGGCTTTGGATGTTAGTAAACAATATGTATTTCAAAGCAAACTTGAAATTATTACTTAAATTTTAATAAACTTTATTAATAATTATTATACTATTATTATTAGTTACGGAAATAAAGAGATCTAAAAATTCTCTTAATCTACAAATGTAAAAAAAATGCCAGTAAAATGTTTCCGTTTAATTTAAATTAAGTTTGTTTATCACTTAATATCTTCGACTATTTTTCTAAACTTATTTTTATGGAATCTTAGGTTATTAAACAATTTTACATACAATCTAAATACGCACTACTATATTGTGTTTTATTTATTTGAGGGATAACTGAATATCTTTTTACTGCCCATTATAAACATTCGTAAAAAGCTTTGGGCCGACATTCCAATGGTTAAGAACAAAATTCAATGATTTTTAAACAACCATCAGTTTAATTTATTTTAAATAACTAGAAAATATTTACTTACAGTCATAGAATGACAAACTTCTTTTGCGTGAGACTCTAGTAAATGCTTGTGAACACCGCGGAAATACTGATTGGATATGCTTCCATTTCTATTAAGAATCCGCTTGCGTCGCTCCGCCGTTTCATTTAAGGAAAGTGTCGAACACACTTTTTGAATATGGTGCGTCTCATGACCCGCAGTTCGATTTAAACTTAAATATTTTGAACTTTTATCGGTTGAGTTTCGTGAGGTCATATTAGACAGAACTCGTGGCAACGATAAATAGCTCATTTTTGAAACACAAAAGTATTGAGCTTTGTATAATTAATTTTGAAACATTTTGCACTTTTGCTTTCTTCTTTATTTTATAAATTGTAGAATCTTATTTCCCGTCTATATTGTGAAACATCGCACAGCTATAATATATTGACGTATATATTTTATTATTATATGATCATTTCAGGTATCCGTATATTAGTTTTGCGGGTTCCAAGATGTCCCTGCAGCAGTACCACTCTTAGGTATATGTAAATTGAAAACCCATTAACAGTGTCAATGCCGCGAATACAAATTTTTTACATCTAATCACGCTGACCGTGAGCTGCTTCTGGGTGTGTATGAGCAGAATTCGTTTTCGAGATTGTTTTCTAAGTATCTCACAAGATAAAGAGAGAAGCTGAATTATATAGTAGTGCTTTAGCAAATGTTTTATTTTTGGAACTTTGAAAAAAAGCTCAATGTTTATGAACCTATGTGTATTCAAAGTATTGGGGAAAGCACACACAGCAAGTGAATGAATAAATGCTTTTTGTGTACACACACACAAACGCACAGCATATGTGTACACATAAACATCTATGTAGTGCCAGTGTAGATAAGTAGATACTAAAGCAAACAAATTTATAGACTATTCTCAACCCAATCAGTTCGAATTGTTTATAGTTCGTTCCTACGGTTAATCTAACAAAGGGTCCAACAAAAATTACAGTTCTGCTTCTTTGTTAGTGCCCAATATTTTGAAATATAACTTGTATGAACACTATATCTTAAAAAAACAGTATATATAG